AGTGCATTTAGTAGCTTCTGCTAGATACAGCTTTCTTGAATTTTCCTAAACCTTAAGAATCCATCTTTATATTTGGCCCCCATAACAGCCTCTGGCAATAAATAATTATTTAAAATTTAAGTGTTACAACATAAAGAAGTTTAAATTTGTATAGACATATTTCAACTTAAAAAATAATATTTGAAAACATATACAAAAATCATAACCTACTGGTTACTGTCCTGGTATTTATCACACAGCAAGACACAGACTCTGTCAAAGCTAAAATAAACTATCTGCAGAATACAAGTCAAAATGTCACATTAGACATTTCTACGAAGGACAAGCTGGGTTCCTATTTCCCTGAAGTTTCTGCCACCCCCCAAAGCCCTGCTCCTGCCCAGGAAGCTTGGGCAAACACTAGCCTTTCTTCCTCAAGCATGTTCTCTGTCCTTCCTGCTGCAGCTCATACAATTTAGGTACATTTTTCCAAATAGCCTCCAGGTGGTTCCTGATGAATCATTAGGACTTTTTAAAGTTTCTTGGAAGGTAAAGTCTGAGAGTGAAAAAGGTTCAAATTGGAACTTCCTTTCATCCCCACCACTGACACCAGGGAGAAGAAAGGCTTAACAGGGCTGGTCCTTGACTCCTGGGCTGAGTTCCACAATGGAGTTGTCAGCCAAGGACAGAGAATGCCAGATTATGAGACCCCTTAAAATTTGTCTTGCCTGGCTGGTTGTTAACAGTCAATCAGCTAAGAAACAACCTCCTGCTGGAGCACTGAAGCTCCAATTAATTCCTATACACGCAGTAGGTAGGTTACAGCTTAACACCTGTGTAATACCGGTGTAATAGTGAAGAATCTACACAGTGTAAAACAATCAATGTAACTAAACAAAATTTAATCACGGGCAGAACACAGACAAGCAATAGCAACCAACTACTGGGTCAACACTGGGTCAAAAATTTTGAAACTTTTGTCTGGGATAATGAGTATTCCTCCCAAATTAATACCACAGATGTTTTAAAGAGTAGCTCATGTTCCAAAATACGTTCTGACTCTGCACACAAAAAATAAGTTTCAATCTGTGAATTAAAGGATTTTTCAGTATGTCAGGGACAGACAGTAGTTCACACATTGCAACAGTTCTATCAAAATGAAGTAAGTGAGTTTGCTCTGAACATGCAACAAAAGGTTTAGTGGTCTGCTGACAGAAATGTGAATCTGTTACCAACTATTTCCTATGTTACTGGTTTGGTTTTTGTTTTGCTTTGTTTTGTTAAAAGTCTTTCCTTCGTATCCTAATATATAGTGATAAATGTCTTCTTAATCTGTGGAACAATCTTCATTTGCCTTCATGGCAGAGACCACCTTGAAGGAGCAAGTAAAAGCTTTAGTCATGGTTTCCATTTTTTCATTTGAATTCAATACATTCTAGTTAAATGGACAATTAATAGGTCACTTCCAAAATAGTAGTGTATCAGTCCTGGTTAATAAACAATCCCCACAGTTGATAATGGGCCTATGTATTCAGCAAGTCCCTGTATACACTCAGCTCATCCACTAAATCCCTTTTCAGGTAGACAGGGTTATATGGGAAGATGAGCTAGAATGAGTCTATAAAAGTCAGTTTCATTCACTGCTTTATTTTTCAGTCAAGTGCTTTAAATGGTGTCCAGAAAATCTCTTGGAATGTGAGACAGGAGAAAAGACTGGCACATAGAGTATTGCTTTATGGCCATACAAAAGGGCAACTGACCCTTGCCCAGGTCTTTTCAATGTGAAATGGTTCCTAAAGTTCATCTGCACAGTGAAAAATTGTGGTGAGGTCGCGTGTGGATGAGTAAAGTGAAAGTGGTGATTGGTCATGGTGCTGTCAGCCATTGTGGGAGAGCCAGGGCCATGTAAAACGCTCTGTGGGAAAGTGTCAGCCCCCTAAAGAGGTGCTCAGAAACTTGCAGCTCATTAAACTGCCAGCATTTGCTGCCTCACTTGTCAAGAATCATTCAACTTAGCAACTGCCCTTCTGAAACATTCATAAAACACATGCACATAGTCAGAAAGGGTTTGAATGCAACTGCGATAAGAAAGTATATGCTAGAGCACGCATTAGCTCCCATTCTGGTTTGGTCTTTTTACTCCATTTTGAAGGACTAGGAAATGCCTCCTCTCTTTGTATTTCTGAGCCATAAACATCTCAAATCACTAACAACACTCTTACACTGTGGCACATAAACTTCACAATCAGGGTTAAATCTAGATGTGGATCAGATGAAAATATATTCTAGATCTTAACCTTGAATAAATAATACTAGCCAAAATTCTCTTCAATTTATGTCTTCAAATTTCTATATTATAATTAAAAAAAAAGTGCATGCGTTTGACTGCTAAGACCAGAATGACTGTTCTATCTAAATAATGCTACTGCTTCTTGAATCCTAATGTATGCCAAGCAGACAATAAAATGCAGCATCCATTTTATGATCTTTCAGCTCTTTTCTTCTCCTATTTGCAAATGTTTATTGACACAGATTTTAAAAAGAGTTACTGATTTTTAAACAATCTTTTCTAGCAAACTGAAAACAAGGAGCTTTCCTAGGCTAGCTCCGTCTGGGTGTCTCAATGCCATTGGAAATCTCTCACAATTGCTCAGTGTACTTAAGTTTGATAAATCTTTGGAAACCTTCTGAATAGGATTGCTGTGATTTTACTAAGGAATTAGCTGCTGCCATTGCATCACCAATTAGTTTTCCAGAACACATTAAATCCTGCTGCTTCGGTTTACAGAGTAACTCAAGCATTACTGATGAAGCATAAAAACTTACTTGGAAAAGCAGTGGGGGATGCAGGGTGCTGACAGGACCCACCGCAGCATGCTGAGTAGAATGGCGGGGCTCGGAGAAAAAAGTGTTTGGAAAGAGCTGCAAAGAAAGCATAGATCTAATTGATTATCCATTGAGCTTAGGTGATATTCATAACAACAGCCTTCCAAAAAGTCAGTGTGTAAAGTCCTGCCCCACAAGTTCTTTTTCCTTCTTTCAAGATGGTGATATTTTTAAGGCAAACAATGATAATCCAAGTAATTGTTCTTTAAATTTTTACAAGGTTAGTTTATATGTATAGCTTAAGCGTTAACATGCAAAACTTTCACAATACATTTATCATGAGAATGAAACCCTGCAGATTCAAAATTTACCTCTGTAATTGCTATAATTATGTTTTTTTCTAAATATTAGGTTTGGACATGTTTAAATAACGAGTTTAATGCATCTGAGAAAGTTATTTTAAACAACTATAGTAGGCCTAATATCCTGGAAAAGGTCCCTTAAAATTAAAAATGAGAACCAAAATCTACAAGTGAATCCTGCCTCTTTTGCTTGTACTCTACTGCTGTTATTAGTACTCAAACAAATGAGGACTTAAATAAATAAGGAACCTTTAAGGAAAAAATATAAAATGCAATGAGATGATCATTGCTGACCTCTATGGAAACTTTTCCACAAACTGCAGGGCCTGATATTCTGCCATCCTGATATTGAACTCTGTCTTGCTGGGCAAGTGTTCTCATGCGTTTAAAGAAACCACTTGCTGAAGAAGGCTCTACTTAGTACAATGAAAAAACTGCAAAATCATCTCATTTAATTAGGTAATACTTAGTAACATTTCCACAGATTTTTTTGAACCAATGAATTAGAAGTCTCTGTTATTTCTAAGAAGTGCTTCCAAGTCTTAGAAAAGGCTCATTTTCTAATAATTCCTTAGATTTTTCCATAAACCTCATGGGTTTTTTTTTGCTAATCTTAATTACCTTTTGATTTCTGCTGGTATTAATTGACTATGAAATGTGGAATATTTTTTTTCTTTTGAAAATAGAAATATCATACTTGCTAAAACTGTGGCCTTGTAAAATGTGATCAGCATCAAAACACCTGTGTCACTTTCCTGTCTTACTTTAGGCAAAAAATAAACTGCTCTAGACTTTGTACTGTAATCTGTCTAAGTCTCTATAAATAACCTGATTATTTCAAAAAATGTAACTGCATACATAGATTTAAAAAAATTAAGAAACCATCAGTAACTGGGAAGGAAGATATATAAATGCATTTAAGCTATGTTCTTCATTTGCAAAGGTTTTTCAGCTGGAATTAAAAACAAAGATCACCCAAAATTATGTTCCTAAGTACATATTTGGGCATCTTAATAAGCTTTCTGATGTTCGGATCTGCTGATCTCCCAAAGCAATAAAATACTGCTCTAGAAACCTGATACAGAACATTTAAAAAATATTTACCCCTATTTTTTATCTGAATTCACACCAGCTTCAGTGAAAATTTCTTCTACTCTAATTGCAAATTAATGAGCATTTTTTACTACAGCTTTTCATTAACACTTTGCTGTTTCTAATTAAATATTAATATACTTCAAGAGAACTAACTGTCTACATTTGAGCTTGTATGCTTGCAAAACATTTACAAAGAGGAATCATTTATATTAGGCATAGATTTCTAAAGCTTCTGTTTCACATGAGACCATCAATGTGGAACTGTGTCACGAGGAACTTAAAAGCATCAAGAACTCGCAGCCAAATTTTACCTATCTTAGGTATTCAAGGGGCTTCAATGCAACTGGTAGGGTAAATAAGTTCAGAAGGATTAGCCTGTAATTGAAGCAGTACGGGAGATAGAGAAGGAAGAGACTTACTAGATAATCTCAGCCGTCCTCCTGAACATGAGGGCTTTTTCTTGGCAATACACTTGCTAATGTTTTGTCTGCTCCAGCTTTACCAGCTCCCGAGTGAAGAGCTTTTCCTGCATTCCTTGGGAGCCAGATTCCTCATGCTATTAGCAAGTTTCCTTAATAGGCAGGTAAAATTTTCCACTTCTAAAATTACAGCTCAGTATACACAAGGCACCATCCTCAATTTCTTTGTTTCCCTTTTGTTCACATCTCTCAAATAGCCCTTGACTGCTATAATGCCCTGCTCCCCTTAATCATTGCTTTACCACCTTGTTCAGGTCATCTGATCTTTGCAATACATGCCTACCCATCCTTGATGCTCCCTGGTACAGTTCCTTAACTCTTTCTAGTTTCCAGCTCTTTTTTGACAATGTGATGCACATAATGGTATGTGACATAGCCCAGAGAGATATCTAAATAAATAAGAATTGAATAAGCTGTTGTGTCAGAGAGACAGCACACTCCTGCATGTAAAGACAGAGAAGCAGGATAGGATAGGATAGGATAGGATAGGATAGGATAGGATAGGATAGGATAGGATAGGATAGGATAGGATAGGATTTCTCTATTCACTAAATCTCTCAGCTTATATACAAGAGCTGCAAGCATAAAGGCGAGAAGATGGATCAGTATTAAAACTGAAGACATGCATTTTCCTTGAGAAAAACCTAAACAGGGCACACATTTCCATGGATGCTGCTGGGAATGATTTAGCACACTAGTACAGCACCATGATGAAACAGCAGAGATCTCTAAGGCCTGGTAAGTTGATGGGAATTTTGCTTTTGTCTTCCTTGGGCTTTTTGCTTAATTCCCTCAACTGCTGTTTTCTGCCTGCATGGTGCATATGCCTCCAGGGGAGAACACTTGTTGAAGAAATAAGATGTAGAGGATATCCTCATAAGGTCTGAACCAGGTAGTTCCTGAGACAGTTTCTCAAGATTGATTTATTCTAGATCCTGTGGAATAAACAATGGCATTATGTCACCCTAAACCTATAGCCTAATATCTAGTTTATAAACTTCTTTAATGTGCTCCAACTACAGTGATGCACAAGTGAATTCTGTGTTAGGTATATCAAACCATGTCCCCAGGTGCTATCTGTTGAAGCAGTTGCACTGAAGCTGATGTGTAGGAGTTGCACAGTTACATCAACAAAAAATCTGGCATCACATAGGGATATTCAGCTCTACCTTGGGAGTCCTATGTAGAGAAAAGTGTTAATGCTTCACCCTAGTGTACACAAGTACATTTTTTTGTCCCTGACAGTAAGGAACTTTCATTGTATTAACTGGCTTCCAGTATCTCTGCGAAACCGCCTTAACAGAATGAAAATTGCTGGGGAAAAATGATATATTTAAAGTATATCTATTTCAGAATTATACTCAGTGTGATTATATCTGTAGGAATGACATGATACGTACGAGTGTTGAAGACAAGACAGGGAAAACATTGGCTATGTTTTAATTTTCTGGTCACATACATCATGGCCACTCTACCAATATTTGTTGCTCGAGCAATCTAAAGAAAACATTGTTTGCTATTCACATAAAGCTGAAAATTTCTGAAATGTCAGAATATTAGTTCTGTATTTATTGGCTGGAATGAAGTACACAGTAACCAAAAAGTAGCTTTTATTCCAAGCCATGCGGATTAAACATTAACCATGGGCCAAACCCTAAAAATTCATATTCAAGATACCTACTCCTTTTTCTGCTTAGCGTTCCCATTTCGTAAACACTGTGTGGTACTAAGCATTTCACAAAAGAGTGAGACTTTGCAGGTTTAGCCTCAGAGATGCATGAAAATGAAATACTGGAGTATGATATAAATGCCTTTTGGCACTCCAAAAATTATACTATATACACTATAAAGTAAGTATTCTATGCTTTAAAATAAAATTTATTGTGTCATAAATACAGGAGGATGAAATATCTAAAATGAAATCAATAATTTATTTTCACAATTTAGCGCAAGATAAATTCCTTGACACTGCGGCTGCTTACAAGGTTTTAGTAATAATGTTCATTTACGTTCAACTTTGTGAATTCACAACATTTTACAAACTCACAATGAAAGGATATTAAACATGAAAGTCAAACTCAAGCTCATCCAGTGCTAAAACTCAGAGAGTAGTTCAGACACTGACATTTTAAAATATACTGTAAGCCTTAAGTCTAAATTCAAAAATCCTTCCATAGTAAAAAGTCATACTAACAGAGGGATTAGAAGCTTTCCTTCCAACCCTCCACCATTTTGAGAGTAAGTTCCTAAGTACAATTCAGTTTAAATGGATTTATACACAGACAGAGCTCAGGCTGTGTGAAAACAGGCCTTAAGCTAAGCCCATACGAACAGCTCTCTACAGTGATGCCCAGGCTCCAGCCCTGATAGGCAAATTAAAAATATTATCACTGCAAGTATCACATTTCATCTGAGAAACTTAGATGGTTTCTGTTCATGAAGTGAGCACTAGAAAATTGCCATTTCCCACATTTTTCTGCTCTTGGCAATGACTAAAGCAGACTTTTGCAAAGCTGCAGGAAAGTTTCATCTCATGAACAGCTCCCTGCAAATAGTCCAGCAGCAGCTGTGGCATTAGTGGTTCAGCTGAGCCTCATGACTCTTGCTTCTGCTCCTGAACCGCGAGCCATTGGTCTGGTGATGAACCACAGCCACGTCCCTTGCAGTGTCTCTGTTCAAAGCGCAGGACTTCAGCAGCAGTCGCACACCCTAAAGCTTTTCAGACAGCCATAGGGAAACCCTTGGCAGAGAAGGGGACAGGTGCAGGCCATTGCCATCTCCCACGAGAGGGAGTCACCACCACATGGACTTGGCCACACTTTCTGCAAGAACTTGTGGTATGGCATCCCTCAGAGCTGGGGTTTCCCGCATGCCTCAAAGTCACTGGCTGCTCGCTTTCCATTACATGACGGCATGAATGCTCAAAGGAAGTCAAGTCAAAATGGCAGATGAGAGAGGCAGTTGCAGATTAGTTGTAAAAGGCTGGCAAACGTTCATAGGGTTTTACAGTCCTATGTAAAGTCCTAAAGTGTATTTCGAAATCCTGCACAAAAGGTGGATGAGAGAAGTCGGCTTGCATTCTTATGTTGAGTCTCAATGGGGCTTTTGAAAATTAGCAGATTAGTCACTCCAGAAAAGACATGTCACCAAAAAGTACTTGAAAAGTGTTAATGGCATGATCATCTTTTCCTCACATCTACAGCAGTATAGTAGATGATAGAGTCACGTGGCGGACTAGCTGAGGCCACATGAATCACTGTCTGTTTTCAGAGGCATCATCCTCATGCCTTATTAGTAAGGCATGATTTGATGTATGTGTACGACTTGTTTGTTTTCTTTGCCTGAAGAAACATGGGCAACAGGGTGTCTCAGACTGGTGACAATGCACAGGCAGGCTCTGGTGAGACCGCGCACCTCTGCAACAACAAAAAGCAACACCTAAAAGCCCACACCATTTGCAAAAGACTCCGTGGGTTTCCTGGTGTCAGCAATAAAGGCCACTTCCACCCTGTGGCAGAATCTTCTCTCCATGCCTTCTACAAAGCCTTGCTATTGAGAAGAAAGATGGGGATCTGGAAAGCTGGGGACTTACTGGCTCCATCCCCCTCCTTCGAGTTGCGCATGTGCTAGTGTGCCCACAGCACCTTCTGCTTACCAGTTCTTGTTAAACATCTTTCTCTCTCTCACTTAAATACCTTTAGGGGCATTACTGTCACTTCTCTGTCTAAAAGTTCAGTGTGTTGTCTAAGCTACTTGCCTGGGCCTCCTGCAGTCAATGAGAAGAAGTAAGTAGCTCTATGTAATGATACATCACCTCAAAATAGACGTCTAAGAAGATAAATTCCGTCATCCTCTGGAGGTGCCTCTCTCTGTATTGACTCTAGCTTAGACAAGGTATTTAGACATCTGGATTAGACAAGACACCTACTTTTTTTAAGCAGCTAATGCAATCTGTATTGCCATTAAGGACACTGTAAAAACAGTAATGATAAAATTCAGCCATAAAGGTACTAAAACTATTTTCTTTGATTTTCAACACATTACAATTTGTTTAGAAATAATTTCCTGAAACAAGCTGAAATTAGGGTCACATACTGCAAGAGGGCAGTTTACTGGTTTCTCATTGCTGCCACCCTAATTCAAAATCTTACCATAGGCCAAAATGCACCATTTATCCCAGCATTAAGCATTGCTTAGCTAAACATTCCTAGCTCAACCACAATTTACTAGCTGCAGTATTGCTAGCTCCATCCAGCCCAAAGTGTCAAGGTTGGTTAAACATCATTAAAATGAAAAAATAACAGAGTAGAGTCTTTTTCTTTTCTTTTCTTTTTTTTCTTTTCTTTTTTTTTTAGCCTGTAAAAGCTTTTCAGACAGCCATAGGGAAACCCTTGGCAGAGAAGGGGACAGGTGCAGGCCATTGCCATCTCCCACGAGAGGGAGTCACCACCACATGGACTTGGCCACACTTTCTGCAAGAACTTGTGGTATGGCATCCCTCAGAGCTGGGGTTTCCCGCATGCCTCAAAGTCACTGGCTGCTCGCTTTCCATTACATGACGGCATGAATGCTCAAAGGAAGTCAAGTCAAAATGGCAGATGAGAGAGGCAGTTGCAGATTAGTTGTAAAAGGCTGGCAAACGTTCATAGGGTTTTACAGTCCTATGTAAAGTCCTAAAGTGTATTTCGAAATCCTGCACAAAAGGTGGATGAGAGAAGTCGGCTTGCATTCTTATGTTGAGTCTCAATGGGGCTTTTGAAAATTAGCAGATTAGTCACTCCAGAAAAGACATGTCACCAAAAAGTACTTGAAAAGTGTTAATGGCATGATCATCTTTTCCTCACATCTACAGCAGTATAGTAGATGATAGAGTCACGTGGCGGACTAGCTGAGGCCACATGAATCACTGTCTGTTTTCAGAGGCATCATCCTCATGCCTTATTAGTAAGGCATGATTTGATGTATGTGTACGACTTGTTTGTTTTCTTTGCCTGAAGAAACATGGGCAACAGGGTGTCTCAGACTGGTGACAATGCACAGGCAGGCTCTGGTGAGACCGCGCACCTCTGCAACAACAAAAAGCAACACCTAAAAGCCCACACCATTTGCAAAAGACTCCGTGGGTTTCCTGGTGTCAGCAATAAAGGCCACTTCCACCCTGTGGCAGAATCTTCTCTCCATGCCTTCTACAAAGCCTTGCTATTGAGAAGAAAGATGGGGATCTGGAAAGCTGGGGACTTACTGGCTCCATCCCCCTCCTTCGAGTTGCGCATGTGCTAGTGTGCCCACAGCACCTTCTGCTTACCAGTTCTTGTTAAACATCTTTCTCTCTCTCACTTAAATACCTTTAGGGGCATTACTGTCACTTCTCTGTCTAAAAGTTCAGTGTGTTGTCTAAGCTACTTGCCTGGGCCTCCTGCAGTCAATGAGAAGAAGTAAGTAGCTCTATGTAATGATACATCACCTCAAAATAGACGTCTAAGAAGATAAATTCCGTCATCCTCTGGAGGTGCCTCTCTCTGTATTGACTCTAGCTTAGACAAGGTATTTAGACATCTGGATTAGACAAGACACCTACTTTTTTTAAGCAGCTAATGCAATCTGTATTGCCATTAAGGACACTGTAAAAACAGTAATGATAAAATTCAGCCATAAAGGTACTAAAACTATTTTCTTTGATTTTCAACACATTACAATTTGTTTAGAAATAATTTCCTGAAACAAGCTGAAATTAGGGT